GTCACGGCCCTTCGAAGCCTTGGGATGTGTTTCTAAACCACTCTTTGTCTAGACGGGAGGTAGCAGACAGACAGACTTGACGTGGAGCTGTGGCTCGCCGCGCAGCGTGACGCCTCTGGAACCGTCTTTGTCTCCTTTTCTTTTGCGCTAGACTGCTTTTTGACAGTTTCTGATGGTGGCCTAAAGCATCGACGAAATCGCCTTCCTTGAAGAAAAAAATCTTCTCAAAGTTTTGAATTTTATTCCCATTTTTACCCACCACTTCTTAAAAACTCTCGAAACGCGCTCATGATCACTAGGAAGGATGCAAGAGGAACCGTTCAGGGGCTTACCATCTGACGATTGTAGGGCATTTATTTCCTTCTCGGAGGCTTCACTGTCATACTAATCCGCCGGGAGCCCTTGCTTGTCCGGGAGAACTTCTTTGGCATAGAAAGCCAGTCAGTGCGTTCTGTAAGCCGTGATGATATATCGTTCATTCTTTGTTCTCGCCTTTGGTCGAAACGCTCGAGCAGCGATTCAAATTGCGGATCACCATTTCTCTTTATTATTTTTTTTTGAACGATTTCCTCTTAACTCTTTTTTAACCGATTATTAGTGCCTGTTACCAAAGACGACTCGCAGCGCTCATCGAGTTCGTAACAATGCCTGCAAGCTCCATATGTTATCGCACTGCACGTGCTTACGTATCGCACCTACAAGTAATGCCCCATGCACACCTACGTTATTGTTGAAGGCCGTCTGATGAGCGGGCGGAAAAATCAAAGCTGCGTGTTATTTTGGAATGAACTCATGCTCATGTGAAAATTCTGATCTCCTTTATTGTTTTTTGAGCACATAAAATCAAAAGCAATCAAACTCTGTTTCATTATTGCGTTTTCACTTTCCTGACTGTTAAATAATATAACAGGGGGCCAAAAAAAAGTCACTTTGCTTCATTGACTTTCGAGGCGCTATAAGTTACACTTTATAAATTCTGATCGGACATTTCTACCACCATATTAAAGAGCATATAAATACTATTATGACACTTCGCCACAGCCTTCTGGAGGAGCGCCATCGAGAGATTCTGCGCGCTGCGACCGCGATGTGGTGCCTGAGATCAGCGAGATAGTCGATTTCTCCGCCACCGTAGACCACCCTCTTGAAGTCCGCCCGAACTAGGTAATTGAGTGGGTTCAGGTCAGGGGACATACTTCAATATTACATCTTCTTCAGTACGAAACGCCCCTTCCTTCAGGTAGGCGAGAGTTTCTCCAACGCCCTTCGATTCCACGTGGTGGCACCAAATGCTGTAGCAGTACAAACTTTCCAAGGAGGTACGGGCGACGACATGTGGGAGATATTCTTCTTGAGTTGGACGATGTAACCGCCAGCGCTCAGCTTCAGTCCGGGGTCCACGAAGAAAATATTGGTCTTTCCATTCCAGGTGCGTCCGGTCCATACCATCAACCGCTCCTTGGGGCTGCCCGTAAAAGGAAGAATGATGATCTTAGTCCGTGCGACGTTTGGAGCTACCTCGATGGAGGTCTTCCAGATTGAGAGTACTGGTCTCCAGGTAGCTATCCATGGGTGACTCCATACTAGAAGTTTCGCAGCTGTTTGGAGGTGACATGAATTCCAAAGGTCTTCTCCAGTCAGGCTGCGACTTGGAGACGCCTTATATTTTGGTGTACATGAAGGTGATGGGCGAGGGCGCCAGCTCCTATCGAGGAACATCTTGGGTATCTTCCGCCCTACTCGTATCCACGTCTTCTCTCTGGGCTGCGAAAACTTTTGCTGATATGTGACTCGGTCGAAGTGACTTTTTTTGCCCCCCCCACCCTGCATGGTACTGGATGGCGCGAAAAAAAAAAACGATTTGCTGAGCTTGGGCGGGCAGATTATCCCTGGCCAGCAATGAAAGACGCAGATCTGGCAAATTGGCTAAAGTGAGGCTGCCAAGGGTCTTACTTCGGGTGCTTCCCCATATTTTTTTTCCTTTTTTTTCGGCACACCTAGAAACTAGGGCTGTAGATTATGTAATCAACGCCAGTGTAACCAACAGCGGTGGTTTTCCGCTTGCAATGACTGGGTGCTGTCTACGTTGTCCTCTTAAACGGCGCTCCCAAAACGCGCCTCTAGTTCTAGGACCAGTAATCCCAAGAACATTCGTTTGGACTGGGCTTACTCTCTGTCTTCCTTCCAAAGTAATCCCAAGTCAACGAAACTATTAATAACGTTTTTTATGATGATCGCTGTTCAACGACGCGGTCTGCCTCTGGAAGGCATCACAAGGATACTGGATTTTAGGACAAACGTCCGCCCTCAGGTAGGACGCAAACCTGCCCCTCGCTCCTCACGTTTGGCGAGCTAGTGGGCAGGCTAACTATCACATCACCCAGGCTACACTCCACATTCTCACCATTATTTAGTTGCTCAACTTATAATGTTGCAATATTTCTGCCTTTTGTACAGTAGCCTCAGAGGCCAATTAACCTCAAGTTTTTTTTCAGAACGCGTCGCCTCATTTCGTGCGATGCGCTCGTTCACTGAATCAATCGAATGTGATCTCCCGCCTGCTCCCGAGTTGCCTGCGCAACTTGACATCGATCGCATCTCGATGAGAACCAGCGACACCAATGAGACCATCGTCGAAGTGGTAAGTATCAGTGGAATTATAAATGACTCTGCAGGATTTGGAGGAACCTGAATCTGCCGAAGGCACAGTCCACGCTGGTAGTGTGGGCGGAGCCAGACCCTGCGCCTTCCACGCTGATGCGTCCCTCTTGCAAAGAAGTTAAAAAAGGGCACGCCAATGAGGAAGGCACAATAGTAGACCTGACCCCGCCTTTACAATCAGCACGCACTGCTGCCTTAAAACTGCTCAGTAAAATTTGTTAAAACTCGCAAGGCTGTCCTGCTGTCTTAGCCTAATCATGCCGATTAAAATATCCCGGTAACCAGAGAAAACCATGCATTTCGGCTCCACTTTCTGGTCCCTTTTACGATTAGTTGTTCTCACCCTACCTTAACCCTTCACAACGGTCACAAACCGTGTGCAAATCGGCCAGTAATCCTTGAACGGGCACTTTTAGCCTCAGGTTTGTAGCATTTCTTTCACTTTCAGCCTCTATGATGTTGACTGCAGGTCCCATCAATTTGAGTTGTTGTGACTCTCTCGTAATAAGTTAGCCCAGAAGTAGGAGTCAGAGAACCCAAGTCATTCTGAAAGAACACAAAATGTCGTCATCGCGTCACCTAGTGAATTATGCAACCACATCGCTTCAACGCTTTGTCCGCTGCCCTTCCTTTATTTACCTCAGTTCCCAACGCCCCGCCCAACATGACATCATGGAGTGTTGCCAAAAAACTTTTTGCGGAAGTAGTGAGGAAGATCCACAGTGTACTTCGTGTTGACCAGGCAGGAAATATTCTATTAGTTTCTTCTCGTCGTCGCGACTTGGGATCGCCTTTGCTGCACCTCTTTATGGCTGGCATTTTGAGTCTCTGAAAATCCAGTAAAGAAAAGAGGTGCTAAGGGACACCTGATAATTGTAAAATGTCTGTGATATGCGGAGGAATACGGGCTCGTATGGACCAAGCATAGTGTCCGGTCGGTTAATGCAGAGGGTGTTGAGAACTGCCGAGTACTCGCAGTCCGTGGACCCGGCGCTGTTCTGCTTGGGAGGGGCATTTTAAAACGTCTATAGTCTTTTTTGCTTGCATGCTATCAAGTAATTTTTTTTTTTTTTAGGCATCTAACAAAGTAAGCTCTTTGTTGAAGAGGCGAAATGGCACAAGGGAACCACTGTGGTTCCAAGAATTTATAGAACTTCACTGCCTAGGCATCGCTGAGTACCACTTGGTGCCCCTTCCAAGCCGAACAGCGCCCATAGACTCGCACTTGTGCACTCGATGGCTATCTCTGAACCCTGAACCGCCTTCCGTCTGCGGCTACCGCACTCTCGACCGATTCCGTGTACACTCCCCTTCTGAATTGTAACAGATCTGGACTGTGCAGACACATGGGGTCAATTGCATGCAAGTTAGAGTCAGAGAGGAAAATAGCTCCTTATGAGCCTAACAGGAAACTTTTTCACACCAAATCACATATTTCAGCTTTGAATGCCAGCCAGCTTCGGCTTGGTAGGGGCACCCAGTGGTACTCAACTAAGCTTGTACAGGCCCCCTTCGGCTGATTCTGAAGTCCAGTGGGCAATGCGGCTTACTTGAGCCATTTCACAGCGTCACAGGAGTTTACCTGTTGATTATCACGAACCAACAAGAGGGAAAAGAACAAGCGCAATGCTCCCTCCAAGCTGAACAGCGCCGCTCATGCAATGCCATCCACTGCGCAAGAAGTAGTGCAATGACTCCTAACAGTTCCCATTCGCTTCAAAACTACGAGGCAGTATCATGAAGTCGGCAAACTTCGGGACTGTAAACGAGTTAGAGAGCTGATTCCAAAAATGTTAGAGACCTGAAGAAATTTGAAAAAATTGCTGCAGGGTACTTGGGTGGCGCGTCTTTTCCAAGTCTTTTTTGTTTTGTCACGTCTCTTCAAAGGCGTAGAAAAGTAGATATGCTACATCATTCACATTTTCACGAGAGACGGACAATGTAAGGTATGACGTGACGCCGCCCTTCCCCTCCTTCCAACCTAACGAGAAGAAACCGTCAACCGTAATCGAATGCAAAGCGAAAAATCAAGCGGAGGAACGTCACAGTCGTTATCCCTGCAAGTAAGCCAAGTGGAATAGAACACAGCCAGAGCAGCCTTTTCCACTAGGCTAAGAATGGCATAAATATGGAAAGGGTGCCTTGACTATGCTCCAGTTCAAGCCCCTTCACACACCCTCTCGCTTGCGATAAAAATGACAGTATCCACTTATTTCAGATTGTTCCGAGGACGTCTGTAAATGTCTCTTCTTGAAATGTTTCTTCTATCACATCATACAATTTAGCTCAAGTCTACTTCGACTGTGGATCCATCATTGGGTGAGACGCAGAAGTACAAGATGTCCGTACCTGGGCCGGGACATTCTGAGCAGGTGATTGATTCTCTTTTGATAGAATTCAGTTCTGATAAACACTAACTTCTTGTCAGGGTTTTCCCTGTGTCAATGATATTTGCAAGCGAAAAAAAAATTCTCAAAACGGGGTAGGTACAGGAGGTTGAGACTGGTTCTTCTTAGAGCGCTTCAAGACCTCCAGGGCAAGTCGGAGCTTCGGAGGATTTGCCAAGAGGTCTAGATATGAATGGGTACCGTCAACCCATAATTTGAGCGGAGCCCTTTAGGCGTACCCTACAAATGCGCAAGGTTCGAAGACGGTATGCTATTTCAGATAAGGCCTTTTCACAAGTGCGATTTGGGATGCGTTTTTCAGGTAGGGCAACTGTTCCGAATCTCGAAACTACGGGCCTTCCTCAAAGATTATTACGAGGCGCTCCGAGATGCAGCGGTACCAAGCAAAAGTCATGCTTAGAAACTTTGTGAAGGCTGTTTAGTATGAAAATTCAGTAATCCGTACGAATACCTGATTGGGGAAGACAAGTTAGTTGACAGAGGCACGTCTTGCCTTCGGGAAAAATTCTTGCGAAATACGCCCCTCTTGAAAATTTCTTTTCTGCTGTACCCTTCCCCTCCCAATTCCCCATGCTTCGTGCCACCTCTCTGAGTTCCTCCGAATTCCTACCTTTTTCCCAGTTTTCCGAGTTTTTTCCTTTTTCTCTTTTTCTGTCTCCCGAAAAACTGCCGTCGAGGGGGAGGGGGGATGAGCAGGAAGCAGGAGAAACCGAGAAAAGTCAGCAAGCGAAAACATTTTTCTCAAAAGCGAACACGCTATGACCTTTCCTCTCTGACGCTTATCTACGACCCCCCCCCCTCGCTGGGGATCCCTAACGTGGGGCATGGCCTGCACTTGACCTGTAATAATACCTCACTGGCT